TTGTTTTATTAAATTATGTATTTATTATTTCCAGTGTCAGAGGATCTGAAATTTGAAATAGTAATTAAATATTTAAAAACTATTGAGTAGAATTAAACGTTTAAATTACGAGAGATATTTAGGAGGGATGGCCCACAATTTTCTAATGAATTAGCGAAAAGAAAAATTATTTTCAATGAAAACCATCCCTTTTAGTATTCCATTATTTATGTAATTTTATTAATTATTATGTAATAATGTATTATTATTGTCAATTTTGCTAAATAAATAAAATAACAAAAATTAGGATGTCTTTGCTAATTTTGATGAGCAATTTTTTTCAAATAATTCCTACCTTGAAAAAATGAAGAGAGGTTAAATACTAGCAGCCGAAAATTAATAAAATAGAAATCATCACAGTTAGATTGGAATGTATTTGATATTTTGCTTTTATAACATTCTAAATTTCAATATTTAAATGAGAAAATCAGAAATGGCGTGGGGAGGAGCAAAACTGCGGTTTTAACAAAATTCCCCCTTAATTATCCTTTGCATTTATCTGGCACAATTATCTCAGAAAAATCGATTAACAATTATAAACATTAAGGAAAAATAACATGGTAATTTAAGTTCAATAATAACTAATATTTATTACATTATAATTATTCCAGCTTTTGAAGCTGGAAAAATAAATAATCTTCAAGTCACAAGACAATCAAGTTGATTACATCAAATTACAAGATGTCAGCTTGTTCAAAAGTTACAACATAACAAAAATAATAATCTTTCATTCTAAAATTTCACGGAGTAGATTAAAAAGAAATATAGGCAATATTTAACTTTTTTTTAATTTCATACTGAAGAATTTTTTAATTAAAAGCGTATTTAAATGTCATTCGTTTATTTTTTAAATATCCTTTCTCGAATAAGCATTGTTAAACTTATCACAAAATTTTTAAAATTATTCATTCTATTATCAGATTTTGCAGTTGTTGTTTTTTTAAACTACGAACATTCATTTTTAAATTTTTGAACTGTTAGCAAACACAGAGAGAAAAATGCAGTAGATTCAAAAATTCCCCGTTGTTAAAATCTTTATAATAATTTCATTTTAAAATTAATAATATTTTCTATTCTTTAATTTTTTTTGGATATACATCAGCAATGTAAATTAAATTTGGAAAAATACTAACTTAAATACTATTTAATGCTTAAAATGGGTGCGATTTTGTTTATGTATGTACACAAAGCAATATTTTTCCTAACTCAGTTTATATATTGTTTAAAATTTATATAATAACTGTTATTTCTAAAATTATAATTAATAATGGTGTTTGAAAAATGTTTTTTCTTCTTCATTTAAATAAAGAAAAAAGTGTTTAGACTAAAAAATAAAATAAAACGTATATTAGTTATGTTGAAAAATATAGTTATATATTGTACAGTAATATTTTTGACAATATGTCGTGATCTTAGAAGTCTCAGTATTGTAAACAACATTGCTTTATTTATTTGGCTCATTGCCAAAAGGAAGCCGAGAGAGGGCCTGGGTAATTTTCTTTCTTTTGAAACCTGTAGAAATTATTTTTAAAACCATTTCACTTCAATTACGCAGTTTTAAAATAAATTTTTCAACCTGAAGCACAAAATCAAAGATGAAATTTAATTCGATATTGAAATGAAGTCACAAAGAAGTGAACTTTTTGTTCTTCGTTTCTACTTCAAAATTTATTTCCAGATTTTGTGTATTATTTGAATGCTAGAATACTTTTTTTAAAATTTTGGTGGATACTAGACGTTTCTTAAAAACCTTTTTCTAAATTCTTTATAAAAATTTCACAGCATCGGACCACACAAATGTTGCTGTCGTAGACCATTAAGACAAGCAGTGCGATTGTTCTTGTTTTACAGCGGCGCCATCTATGGCCAGGAATTCGACTTCTGCCACACCCATACGTCACATCCGTTTTTAGGGCAGACTCATTCATGTATCCTTTCATTCATCCACAGATTCTTATTTTTTCCTGAACCAGATAACGATCAATCTCCAATTCAGTACTCCCAGAGGTATAGTTTGTTATAAGAACATGAAGGACTTTGTGACCCGACAGATTTGACGTGCACCAGCCACAATTTACTACACAGGGTTTCTTCGGCAGGCTGGATTCGAGCTCCCGTTCTAAAAAACGTGAGTCCAGCGCCCTACCGACCAGACTAACCCCGCCCCATTTTCACAAATAATTCCTGCATACTAATTTTAAGTGTGTTACTTGTCAAAAGTAATACTTAGAAATTCTTGCAACGTTTGAACTAATTGTTCTGATTTGTGTATAACCTTTCAGGGGAAAAAATTACCTCGCAAAACTATCTCTCACTAATTTCGATATCAAGACCAGATTGTATACATGTAAAATACACATACAAATTTCACTTTTTGTACATAAAATGGTTATAACTTAAAAACTGCTACTCGAGTTTGGTGTCATTCAATTCTGAGTAAAGAAAATTGCCTATCTAAAAATCCCCTCAAATCGCTTCCATTTCTCTCAAAAAGGAGGTAAAGGTACAGAGGAGAGGAGTTTTCGGGTAATACTTTATAACAAAGTGTTTTGTCAAGAAATATCTTGGTCATTAATTTTTCTGAGCCTTTTTCTTTATGTTACTTGACTGTTACTAAACAAGGGAGAAAATAAAATTAATGAATTAAATCAAAAATATGTTCGAAACAAAAACTTTTTTTAAAAAACGTGTTAAAAACGAACAAGAATTTAAATAGTTTAAAGTTCACAAATATTAGGGTTTTTTTTAGAAAAAAAATGCATTTTTAACTGAGTTAAAGAATATATCAGCTTATTCTGTGAAATTGAGTGAGGCCGCAAAGACACAATAGTTTTAAAATTCATACAAAATTCTAAGTAAAAATCGCAATGAAGGTATAATATTGTTATCGTTAAGAGCGTTGTGTACTCAATTCATATATAGTTTAATACCACCCAGCATTTAACGACCACCCCTTAACTACCCAACATTTTACGAGAGCCCTCATCCCTACCTTTAATTTAATCAGACCAAAACACGTTAAATTATGAAATTAAGAAAAAAAAAAGCATTTTATTTCTTTAAAAATCGGAACATGCAATCCAAAATCCTTCACAAACTGAATAAAACTTTGCAAATCTTCAAACTTGTTTCTACTCATTATTTTAAATACTTTTAATGTATCATTCATTTTTTATTTTTACTGAGATGCAAGCAAAAAATTAAGTTCTTTTTTTTGGGGGGGGGGGGGNGGGGGGGTGAAGGTATAAAAACATAAATAATATATTGAAAGTGTAAAGATTAATTAATTATTTCATAAAATACATTGTTATTTATCACTGATTTGAGGTATAATAAGCATTTTGAATATTTCATTTTAAAAGCAATAAAAAAAAAAGAATACTCGTCTTCATCTCCCAGGATGCTACGTCGATACCCTCCATCTTAATTCGACAGTAAAATTTTTATTTCGTTTCTTTGTGGTGAATTTTCTCTTATCAGAAAACTACTCTACTTCTTTAACTACTTTTAAATAGAAGAACTGAAGCTCTTTTATTTCTTTTTGTTGGAAGGAAGGTGATTGGATAATTATAAATTGAGGAGAAAAGTTTTTTTTTTTTTTTTAATGAAAAAAGGCTGGTACTCATGCATAAGTTTTGCACCCTTCATGATTGAATCCTTAATATAGTTCATGCAAATGATTTTTCGAAATAGAAATATAACATAAAAGAAAACTTGTCTAACCAGTTTTCAAAACTTTTTCACTGGAGAAGAAAATAATATATATATATATATATAGCAGAAATTTCCTCAAAATAACGAAAATTTTGCAGTTTATGAATAAGTGTTGATTAAATGTGAAGAATTAAACAAGCATTATGTGCTAATGTTNTTTTTATTTAATAGTTTTTTCAAAAAATATAACAAAACTCTTACTGCATGTTGTATCATTATTTCTTGTGAAAAAGAAGTAAAATTTTCAAAACAATGCGTTACACATTGAAAGAATTGGAGAATACTTTTTTGAATTTAAAAAACAAGTAACATAAGGAAATTTTTTATTTAATAGTTTTTTCAAAAAATATAACAAAACTCTTACTGCATGTTGTATCATTATTTCTTGTGAAAAAGAAGTAAAATTTTCAAAACAATGCGTAACACATTGAAAGAATTGGAGAATACTTTTTTGAATTTAAAAAACAAGTAACATAAGAAAATTTTTTATTTAATAGTTTTTTCAAAAGTTATAACAAAACTCTTACTGTATGTTGTATCATTATTTCTTGTGAAAAAGAAGTAAAATTTTCAAAACAATGCGTTACACATTGAAAGAATTGGAGAATACTTTTTTGAATTTAAAAAACTAGTAACATAAAAAAAACTTTTTTTAAGTAATTTTTTTTATTAAATTTTTTTTATTTTAAATTTTTTATTTAAATTTTTTTTATAATTTTTTTTATTATTTTTTTTTTTACATTTTTTTATATTAGTTACTTTTTATTAAAAATTTAAAACTTTTTCTCCCTTATAAAACTAAAACTAATTAATTAAATTTAATTAATGAATTAATATTTGAAAAATCCGTATTAACACCATTACAATTTTAAAAAAATGTATTTGAACTTGAATGGAGAAAAATATAAAGTATTTTACTGTCGATTAAAAATTTGAACAGGATATAGGGAGATAGTGAAATAATAGTAAGAATTTAGTAAATAAATAAAATACACAATTCTCAATTAACAAAAAAGTTTGCCGTCAACAGTTAGTTATAATAAAAAGATGTTAGCCAGGAAATTTTTTTTTCATTCATGCGTGCATTAATTTATATTTTAATCTACTACCACTGAATCGTGTTAGTCGTATTTTCTTTGAATATTATTCTTTCAATATTTTGATTCGAATGAATATTTGAATATTGAATATTGAATTTTTGAATATTTGTAATATTATTCTTTGATATTTATTCTTTGAATATTCCTTGAATTTCCTTGAATATTTTTTTTTCATTCATACGTGCATTAATTTATATTTTAATCTACTACCACTGAATCGTGTTAGTCGTATTTTCTTTGAATATTATTCTTTGAATATTTTGATTCGAATGAATATTTGAATATTGTATATTGAATATTTGGAATATTATTCTTTAATATTTATTCTTTGAATATTCCTTGAATTTCCTTGAATATTTTTTTTCATTCATACATGCATTAATTTATATTTTAATCTACTACCCCTGAATCGTGTTAGTCGTATTTTCTTTGAATATTATTCTTTGAATATTTTGATTCGAATGAATATTTGAATATTGAATTTTTGAATATTTGGAATATTATTTTGATATTTATTCTTTGAATATTCTTTGAATTTCTTTGAATATTCTTGGAATTTCTTTGAATATTTTTTTTCATTCATACGTGCATTAATTTATATTTTAATCTACTACCACTTAATCGTGTTAGTCGTATTTTCTTTGAATATAATTCTTTGAATATTTTGATTCGAATGAATATTTGAATATTGAATTTCTGAATATTTGGAATATTATTCTTTGATATTTATTCTTTGAATATTCTTTGAATTTCTTTGAATATTCTTGGAATTTCTTTGAATATTTTTTTTCATTCATGCGTGCATTAATTTATATTTTAATCTACTACTACTAAATCGTGTTAGTCGTATTTTCTTTGAATATTATTCTATGACACGAACAAATTTATTCTTACCACTGCCCTCTGACATATACGACTTTTTAAATATGTGACTTTTTTAAAATTAGATTTCTCAGGAACTGTTCAACTTATTTTGTTCAAATTCTGTATTTTAATCAAGCAAAATTACATACTTTTAAAATGGTTTAAAAAAATTGTATACCTTACTAATCAAAAATTTCTCGACTTTTATTAAATAAAATAATAGAAAATAACAATTACTTATTAAAATTTATTTTTGGCATAGAATTATCTACGGATATACGAATGTTATAATGATGTGCAAATTTTTTTGAATTCACTTAAGAATTTCTCGAGATTTGGAGAAATGTGCAAAAAGTCAAATTAACATTAAGGAGTCCACACTTTGGACGGCTCTCCTGACCAAACTATTGGACTATATATCCCAGATTTCGGCTACCCCCTATATTTTAGGGATCAGAAAAAAGGTATGTTTATTCAGAGAAAATACGTTTTTGTATCTGATTTCGTAACTTAAAATATCGTCTTCACCAATTAATTACTATAGTTGAGGTTAACCCTATATATCATTAAGATTGAGTCCCAGAATGTGAAGATCCGATCATTAGATCAAAAGTTATTAAGGGTGATCCGCTTTTTTTTCTTTTCTTTTTTTTGCGCACTGTGCATAAAATTAAAAATCAACGAGAAAAAATAAGTAAATAGCAACTCTTCAGTGTTGAAACTCAGAATAAAGGGAAAGAGTATTTTATCGTCCACATTATATATTCATACATTGCATTCCATACATATATAATATAATGCGTAATATTGTGGAATGTAGATTCATACATTCTGCATTATTTAACATTATATTATATGATGTATAAATTTTAGTCTTCCAATTATTAAACTGCTTGAGAAACGCCATAAGTCAAGTGGTTAAAATTATTATATCTAACGCATAAGTCGAGAAATATTACGAACAATAATTATTTGAAAGCTTGACTCTTTTCACACTCATTCTCTTCTGCAAAATAAAAGGAAACGCGTTTTAAATATTGAGAATGAACTTCAGCAAAATAAAATGAAACGCGCCTTAAACATAGAGAATGAACTTCAGCAAAATAAAATGAAACGCGTCTTAAATATAGAGAATGAACTTCAGCAAAGTAAAATGAAACGCGTCTTAAACATGGAGAATGAACTTCAGCAAAATTAAATGAAACGCATTTTAAACTAAACATAGAGACTGAACGTCCTTTATACGGTAATTAAAGCTACGTTTGTTTCTAAACAAGATTTTATTCCAACAAAATTAGATGGCATTTAGCTTATACTAATAATTAAAATATATATTTGTGAGTAAAGGAAATTGAAACAATGAAAGAAATTGTGCTCCAATTTACTAATTATTTATTTCAATTTTTTTAAAAGTATTTTGTATTTATTTATTTATTATTTTTAATAATAAAATGAAACACTTCTTAAATGCAGAGAATTAACTTCAGCAAAGTAAAATGAAACGTGTCTTAAACATAGAGAATGAACTTCAGCGAAATAAAATAAAACGCGTTTTAAACATAGAGAATGAAGGTCTTTTTATACGGTAATTGAAACTACGTTTGTTTCAAATCAAGATTTTATTCCAACAAAATAATTAAAAACTAATAATTAAAATATATTTGCGAGTAAAAGAAATTGAAACAATAAAAGAAATCGTGCTCCAATTTATTAATTATTTATTTCAATTTTTTAAAAAAGTATTTTGTATTTATTTATTTATTATTTTTCTGAAAAAAATAATGAATAATTTAGAAACAATGATGGGCGAGCAGATGTGAAACCACCCAGTAAGCAAATATGTTCCTTCTTCAAACAAAACTCAATACAAATTAGCAGCAGAGGTAATCGCTTCATTTTCAAACCTAGATGAGCTCACGCTTACTTGAATATAAGAGGAAGGAACGGGGGGGGGGGCAAAGGGAGATTCAGCATCCTCATATTTTATAAATGAAGGAATAAAGCCCCTTTTAAGATTAAAATTTTTCATTCACTATCTGTGTAATTAAATTTAAAATAAATAAATAGATAATTTTTTTTATGTCTAAAGAAAAAATTGAAATAGAGACTTTCCAAAAAAAAAATGTCTCCATTTCCGAGCGAGCTTTGACATTTCCTTGGTAAAAACTATTACTAAATCATAACTATTACTAAATCATACCCTACTTATCCCATATAGGAAACATACGTCCGTATTGCTGACCTATTGGGTAAGTCTTGGTTTCAAATGTCCCAGCGAATATAATTTAAAAAAAAGTAAAACAGTATAAAAAAATAACTTTAAATGAGAGATAAATGATTTATAGGTAAAAAATTTATCTTATTAATTTTATTTTAATTTTAAAATTCAGGTTAAAATTGCTTGTTTAAATTTCTGATTGCCATTTTGTGAGGCTCAGATNTAAGAGGGTTCTTTCTTCATGTATTTTCAGTTCAATTTTAACTGTAATATAAAAAAACACGCATATTCATAAATCTATATAAAATCAATTTCCTTTCGAACACAATTTAAAAGGACGCATAAAACCCCCCACCTAAATAAAATCGGTAAAAATGCCCCAATCGATATTTCTTAATTCAGTGGTTTAACAGTTTCAATCCCATTTCTTCCAAGGTCAACACTTGACGGAACATACCGGACGTTTTCTCTCTCTCGTAACTTTAAACTCTCCCGCAAGTTCTAAGAAAATAGAACCCTTCTTTTTTAGCGGAAAGGAGATCTTCCTCCATTCCCTGATGTAGGGGGAAAGGGGTAGAGAGCTCTAAATACGGAGATCTTTTTCCTACCTGCAAAGGGAGCAGCACATGTTAAGAACCAACATGCAGAAGGGTTAAGAGAAGGAAAAGAATTTACTCACATGTTCTATCTGATGTGTCCAGGTATCATAAAAACACAATGAGAAAGGATTTGGGAAGAGGAGAATCGATCTCAACAAATGAGACCGTCGCGCCATCTGGCGGAGTGAGAAATACTGTTTGCTATTTAATTTCCGCGTGTTTCACCTTCCATCCTTTTACTTTGACTTTATTTTAGGGGAAAGTGGGGTAAGGACGGGTGGAAAAGGTTCGAAGGGCCTGTTGGAGCGGAACTGTTCGATCTAGGAACTTCATCGATAAATTCATCGCGTGGAATATATCTTTCCCGAAAAGTCATATTATATCCGACATTGAGCAGACGACTCAATTTTGGGTTTACGACTACCAATGTTCAACTCCGTGGTCTTGTAATATTGAACCCAATCCAGAAGACAAGGGAACTGCTGGATCAAGTATTGGGAGAAATTTGCCTTCGTGGAGGACTTTTTTGATGGAACTAACCCGTATTTGCGTTACATGGAGAGGAAAACCGGGAAGACTTCCCACGTTTAGCATGACGACAAGGGGACTATAACCCATGATTCATCTACCACTGAGGATATTTCACGTCAGCACTGTGGTCGGTGCAAGCCGGATGTGGAATTCGAGTAGACCAGTCATCACTGGGATTCGAACCCGATTTTACCTCATTGGAAGGCGAAAGCTTTATCCCCTGAGCCATCACGGCTCCAGTGAACATATTTTATTTTATAAATTTTTATAACCGTCGTTGAAGAGCTAACCCAATTTTTGGGGTATACGACTTCGACTACTAATGTTCAACTCCGTAGCCTTGTAATTTTGAACCCAATCCAGAAGACAGGGAACTCCTGCTTCTCACTGCTCAGGCTTTATCACTTTGTAAGTGGTTTTGCCCGTACATGGCAGCTATACGGCGATTAATTTTGTGTTGAGCGAAACTTGCCAAAAACCAGAACATACCACGCTGTTAATTTTTTTATAACTGTCGTTGAACAGCAGATCCGATTTTCGGCTTACGACTCTGAAGTTTTGACATTTTAAACCAAATCCAGTAAGCAAGGGAATTCCTGAATCAAGTATCAGGAGACATTTGCATTCGAGGAGGATTTTTTGATGAAACTTACCCCCATTTGCGTTACATGGAGAGGAAGACAACGAAAACCTCCCATGCCTGTTCTGACGGGACAGGGACTCTAACCCATGATCCGTCTCTACTTCAGAGGACATTTTACGTCAGCAGTGTGGTCAGTGCAAGCCAGGTGCGGAATTCGAATGGACCAGTCATCGCTGGGATTCATCTCATTGGAATGCGAACGCTCTATCTCCTGAGCCACCGCGACTCCCGAAAAGTCATAGATGTACAGTGCGTTAATGTAAATTTATTACTAGAAATACGAATTTTTTAAGTTTTACTTTCTCAGAAACTACTCGACTAATTTCGCTTATTTTACCACGTAAAATTACATTCTTTAAAATAATGATCACCTTACAATTCAAAAATTCGTTTGACTATTATTATATAAAATAATTAAAAAGAGACATAGAATATTTACTAAAAGTTTTTTTTTTTTTTTTTGCTNTTTTTTTTTTTTGCGGGGAATTATCTTCGAATTAAGGAATTTTATAATTGTTTCCGAAAATTTTTCAATTCCCTTAAAAAGTTCTCAAGATGTTGCGAAATATACAAAAAGTAAAATTCGCATTAAGGAGTCCAAACTGTAACCGCTTTGATGACCAAAATATTTTGACCATATATTACAGATTGCGACTACAAGGAGGCTTTTATTCAAAGAAAGCAAGTTTTCATGTCTGATTTCGTAACTTGAAATTTTGTACACGCTGATTAATTAGCATATTTGAGGTTACACCCTCAAACTATTAAAATTAAGTACTAAGCCTTAAGATCCGATCATTAGATTAGATCATTAGATCCTTTCATTAGATTAAATCATTAGTTAGATCATTAGAATTGATCATTTTATTTTATTTTATATTATAACCGTCGTTGAACAGCTGACCCAATTTTACGACTACTAATGTTCAACTTGGTAGCCTTGCAATTTTGAACCCAATCCAGAAAACAAAGGAACTCCAGGATCAAGTGTAGGGAGAAATTTGCCTTTGTTAAGAGCTTCTTCATGGAACCAACCCGCATTTGAGTTCTATGGAGGGGAAGACCAGGAGAACCTCCCACGGTTAGCCTGACGACAAGGGGACTCTAATCCATGATCCGTCTACCGATGACGATATTTCACGTCAGCACTGTGGTTGGTGCAATCCGGATGCGGAATTCGTATCGACCAGCTATCGCCGGGATCGAACCATGGTCCACCTCATTGGAAGGCGAACGCTCTATCCCCTGAGTCCGATCCGGCTAAGATCCGATCATTAGATTGTGGTCCGTTTCTTCTCTTTTTTTCCCTTCGCACTGTATTACTTTTCTTTAGAACTTATTTTATCCCCTGCAGATAAATTCAAATCACCTGATGGGAAATTTAGGAATACTAAATAAAAGGGTAGTAGTCATTCTTGTTGTTGTTGTTAATTTACGTCGCACTAGAGCTGCACAATGGGCTATTGGCGACGGTCTGGGAAACATCCCTGATGATGAGCTTCTCACGAATCCT